CCTACCATGTTTATACATAGGCCGGACGGTGGGGTCCTCCGCCGCTTCTTGTCGTAGAACCAGGTGGACTCTGACTTCGCAGGGGAGACCCTCAGGCCCAATCCGCGCAGGGCACGGATTGCGCAGGCCGTTGCGATTTCGCCGATGCGCAGTGTCTCGTGCCAGCCACGACCCCCGACCAGGACCAGGGGGCATCGCAGTACCTCGTCGTACGCAATGTTCCATAGGATCGGTCCCAGCACCGAGCCCTGCGGGACTCCGCGTTCGATAGGTCGCCTTTCCTCTCCCTCCTTGCTGCTGTAGCAAATCCACCTGTCGTCGAGGTAGGTCCGGATCAGCCGGACGAGGTAGCTGGGAACCTCGAAGTGGAACGGCCAGACGAGGCATGTAGTCTGGTTCTTGGTGTCGGGAGCTTTCCTGAGGTATGAAACCATAAACAGCGCCCGGGCAACCCTAGAAGCCATCGGAGTTGGGATACGCCCAACCAGCGCACTCGGTACTCAGTACCGGTTACCTTGATTATTGGCCCGCAGGAGGCTTTATCGTCTCAGGTCGAACGGGGCGTTTTCCAAGCCCTTCCGTCTTCCGGGACGGTATCCGGAGCAGGTGGGACGCTGCTCACCCGCCGAAGGCCACTCGGAGGACTTTGTCCTCCTTAATCCAGCCCTCTTGCCAGCATTTGGCCACAACCACTGCCACCACGAGTCCATACCCATTATTGGTCGAGCCAAGGGTTCGCTACGCCCTCTGGGCTAACACTCGACCGCCCGTGGTACCGTTCATATGTCAACGGTGGGACCGCGCATGTGGATGTACCGCCACGTCTCTGCCGCACGGCTTACCTGCTAACCGGCGGTCAGATCCAGATGAGACTCACGTAAGCGGGAGTTGAGGAAATGTACCTCGGCGGCTCTCCCGACGGTCTCACCCTTGGCTTCAGGATCGTGGGTGCGCTACTACCCAAGGCTCCGTGGGGAAGACTTAGTCTTACACCACAGCAACCTTCCTTGCGGTG